CAAAGAATCCCAGCAACACTTACAGCCAAAGACAACAATATTTCAATCTAAATTCAAGTCTGATGTGCAGTTTGGGGCTTGTCCTTGACAAAATTTCAAAGTAGTGATGTCTATCTACAATGCTCCCCTACCCTGATTTTTCTTACTTCTCATCACCGAAGAGAAAATGTCTCTCCTAGTAGTAATTCTCACGTGAGCACTGTGGTTCCTGGGACATGTAGTAGTATTTCCCGGGGGGCCCATGGCAAGTTAGGCTCCTGCCCTTTGTGGGCGAAGCTCTTCCCTGGTGAAACATGCAAGTTCTTAAAGGGAAACAGCAGACAGAAAGTTTGAGGGGGTCGTCCTCCGCTGAGATCTGTGCATGACAGTCACGCCAAACCCTCAAGGCATTTAGGAACCACACATGTTCCATGGATCAGACACTGGCATATAGTGGGAGGAGTACAGGAGGAACCTATGGTTTTAAGGTTTAAAGCATTCGTGTATATTTCAGGAAGACTCTTTGGAATTGGCTGAAGTTCAGGACCTGATGGGTGGGATACCAGGAAGAGGCAGCAGCTGCAGTGACTGCCAGGCTAAGTGGGAGCCAGGGTATGAGAGGCACCTGAAAGGTGAGTCAAGATTTGGGGGGCCAGAGTCTACTCTAGTTGGTCATCCTGGGATCAGAATCCTGCATTCTGAAAACATGATGATTGTTATCTGTCTCATAGCGATTTTATTCGTGCTCTCCATAAACATTTGCTAGCGTTTTCTTGCAAGGAAGAGCCTCACTTGGATGTTAAGGAGGAGTCAGGAGGAAAGGGATAGTTGAAACTATGCATGGACCAGAGTCTACAAGGGGTATGTAATGGGGCATAGTGGTAGTTCATGGAACAAAAGTAAAATAAAGTGAGAGACTGGAGAAACCCAGTGAGAGCTAATTTACATGGACAGGCAGGTGACAGGTAAGAAAACTGAGGTGTAAAGAGGTGAAGTAATTTGTTAAAGTTCAAATAGCAACTGAGTAGAAAGGCAGGATGGAGACACAGTCCACCTGATACTAAATCCGAGCACTTACTAGCGCACCAACAGCCTTCCTCTGAGGAACTCTGCTGCACACAAGCTTCGCTGGAAGGCTTTTCAGTTCTGCAGGTTTATATACTGCATTTCCGCTGCTCTGAGCAGTCACACACACCTCCCCCACCCCCGCCTTGTTCTCTGAATTCAGGATCACTAGGCTTCCTGGTGTTGGCATTACTTCTTCCCTCCCCAGCACAGACCCAGTGCTAACTTACCAGCAAGGTGTCCCAAATTCGTTCAATTAGAGCCTTTCTGATGGAAAGGACTGATAATAGGAAGGGCTGGCATTTTAAATCCCAAGGGTACAACTAGTGTCAAAGGAATCTGATAGGATTTCAGCCAGCCCACAAGTGAAGAGCCGGCCCTCCAGGGGAAGTATTTAGGGCAGAAAGCTTTCCTGGTATTTGTGGGAGGAACTCTAGCACTACATAATGGGTGGTCGGGGTTGTTATTTAGCGGGGGAAAAAAAAAATCTCATTTTCAAAGTACTGCTCTATTTTAAGCACACAAGTTTACAAAAGAGCTGCAAAGATTTGTTTTCTGGACCTCTAATTAAATACCAAAATCAAAATGCAGTATCTTTAAAGCCCTGGGTACATTCCATAGTATTTATGTGTTCAGTATCATTTCCAAAGCAATTTTATTAATCGTATTAATACATTTTTTGGTGTGTGGTAAGCATCATTTCATTGAATACTTAACAAAAAATCCTCACCTTATTACCTCATTTTATAGACTGACAATTAAAGTGGTTAAATAATTTGTTCTAGTTAATGTAGCTACCAAATAACAGGGCTGCAATTTGAACCTAGGTCTACGCAATAGACCCTTATTCAAAACATACTCCCAAAAGGAGTACAGGCCACATCTTAATAATGGATCCGAGGATGCCTTTAAATCAGGTAGAATGAATTCCAATGAAGACAGGATCAGTGACTATTTGGCAAGTCGTGTAACAGTCTAAAGGAAATGAAATAAGATTGTTCAGGAAGATCTTTTAGAAAGAGAAGGTTTCATTCATGGAATAGCAATGAGCAAAGAATTAGCAGACGGATCCCTCAGCCAACTTCACAGGGATCCTTGAAGTAACTGAGAAGCTGTTCTGCAAAGACGGAGCATTCCTGTATTTTTAAAAATAAAAGACCTATTATAACTTTAGAAGCAAATAAACAATAACTACAACCAAAGGACGAATTAAGGGTGAGAGTGAGGACCTCCTGGGTCATGTCAGGAAGCCTGGGCACTTAGGTGTCTCTCAGCTGCTTTCTGGTCCGCCTCAGCCCCTGTCCCAGCCTCAGGATACAGCCAGGACGAACGGGCCTCTCCTGCTGCACGGAACCAGCTAATGGGTTCTAACCTTTGTCAACACCAGGACCTGTACTCTGTTTTCCTCCGTGGGTGCAGTGGCTTATCTGCCAGTTATGTCTGCATGGGATAGAGTGCCACAGCCCATACATACTCCATCCATAGCCCAGCAACAAAGAGCAGTGATAGAACTTCAGGCCATACGGACTTGAATCCCGGCTTAGACACTTAGGAGCTGAGCGACCTCGAGCAAGTTATTCCTCCCATATTTCTCAGTTTCCCGGTCTGTAAAGTGCAAACTCTTTAGGGGACAGGAATTCAAGGCTTTGAACTTCAGGGCAAGGCTTGTCATTGGATTCTTCACTCATGGAAACCACTTACATGTGCTCATTAATTTCCCACCATCCGTGGTCACAGCCTTTCACACTCTTCTTGGCTATTGTATAGTTATGGAATTTCAGTGCTACGCCGAGAGTTGATAGGGGAGTCTGTGAACAACGAGCAGAAGTCAGAAAAATGATTCAGCTGAAGAATAGGTTTCAGACTAAGATTTTATTACCCAGAGCTCATTCCCCAAGCTTGCTGTTTTAAGGGTGTTTTATTCCTTGTGCCCTGTAGCCTTTGATGGGGTAGACCAGTTCTCCTGAACAAACTGACCTGATGAGAAGAGCAAGCAGAGAAAAAGTGAGCCTTCCAGTGCTCAGGGAATAGCTGTGAGCCCCAGTGTGACGAGCTGGGTGACGTGGGACACATTAGATCACCTCTAGGTTTCAGTTTCCTCCCAGTAAATGAGCTTAACTTTGAGAACACCCACTTATTAATGAGTGTACACACTTTCCTCCTCTGATGACAATAATGGCGTAGTTTATTTAAGGCACTATTCTGATTCTTTAGGTAGAGGGATGAATCAGCCTCCTCTTCATATTAAACCTGTGTATTCTGGAAGGCAGTCACTGAGTCATTCCTATGTCTTCTCAGAAGAGATAGATCAAACAAGAGAAGTAGCTGCTTATTTGAAACATGCACAAGTGACCACACACACACACACACACACAAAATGCAACTGACCTTGTTATGTCATTGTATGATAAGCACATACATCACCACCAACATGCCACAGTTTTAGTTTTAATTTTCACTTTAGCCCAGGAGTTATTTAAGAGAGTTCTTACATTTCTAGGGAGTAGAATTTTGGTTTGTCTATTTTCAAATTTTAAAATTCCATCTTAGTTAGAGAAGAGATTACTTATTACAGTATAGCTTTTGATTTCTTAATTTATTAAGGATTTTGTTGTGATCAAATTTATAAATGCTCCAATGTAATTTTTTTAAAGGGTGATTTCTGTTTGTATGTATTACCAAATTCATCATTTGTATGGTTTAATAGTCTCCCTTGCCTTATTTATTGTCCCCAACTGTCTCTGTCATGAGCCAAGAGAAAGGAAAATCTCTCTTTGTCCGTCTTACAGGCTTTATGAGTGTTAGTTCTCTGTGCCTTGGTGCGTAATTGTCATAATTAGATTCTTATGTTCATCGGCCTCTTAGTCACTGTAGATTGCCTTCCTTTTCTCACTGAATGCTCCGATTTCGGCTCTGCCTGGCATTAGGTTTGCAGTCCCTGCTTTCTTATTGTTTACATTTGCCTGGCATGATATTGTCCATTCTTTTATTTTCAGCTTTATTAAATCACTTTTTAAATTCATTTTGTCTTTTGAAAACAACATACAGGTAAGTTTTAGGCAATACTTTGTGATTCAGTCCTACTGTCTTTTTCCTTTAATAGATGAATTTTGCACGTTGTCTTCTATTGTTCTGATAGACATTTGGCTTTTCAGTTATGTTGTCATATTTTATATTATAATTTTTTTGTTGTGTTGTGTGCTTCTTTCTAATGCGTGTTTAGGGTAGCCCCTCCCCTTAACCTACCTTTGAGAGGGGATGGATTGGGTACAGTGACTCACATTGAAACACTATGACAGGGGGAAGGGAATAGCTCAAGTGGTAGAGTGCATGCTTAGCATGCAAGAGGTCCTGGGTTCAATCCCCAGCACTTCCTCTAAAAATAAATAAATAAATAAACCTTATTATCTCCCCTCTCAATAAAAAAATAAATATCACAACAGCACAGTTAGGCAGGTAGTATAATTCGCAACTTATATAAGAAGAAACCAAGACTAACCAAAGAGAAGCAACTTTCCCAAGGTGAGGAAACGCCGACCAGAGACTTAAACCAGTCTTGCATTTCTCTAAAGGCCTCCCTTCCTCAGGGCTGCTTAGAGACCAATGTTGGGAACTCAGCAGGATCGGGACTGTCTTTTGTTCATCATAAGACTCAGAAGGCTCGTGAGAACATGTATCACATTTTTTCCACTCTGGTCATCTGGTTATTTCTTCCCATGTTAAAAAAAATAGATGCAAACTGAGAGGTCCCCTCCCCTACTTTATTATTCTCCATAGCGTTATACCATCATGGAACACACTGTATATATTTCGCTGGTATATTTGTTTATCGCCTGTCTCCCCCTACTTTATAGTACGTTCTGTGAGAGCACAGCCTGTGTGTCCTCTCAGAAATGATTTTGCACATATACAGTGAAAGAACCAAGGTGACTGACTCCTTGCTCTATCTCCCTCCTCATGATACTACAGGCAGAGAAAGAAAAATAGTTTACAGACTGAGATTCTGAAAGCAAACAAACAAACAAAAAGCAGGGACTCCCTGTCCACCATCAGAGGGAGATGTGTATTTCATATAAATTTACCCTCTGATTTGCTTATACGACAGAAATATATGTTGCCAAATTCAATTTATTATTTCTTTATTATATCTTGTTATAATGCCGATGTAGTAATTAAAAATTAACAAATGAGCTCTACCATAATGAAATAAATTGATCCCGTCACAATGTCTTTGCATTTTTTAATACAAACAAAATAATAGACTGGAAAAATAAGCCCCAGTCTGAAAAAAACAGTTAATCCGTGGGCAGAGGGTTGAAATTACAACAAAGTTGCATGTTGTAAGTAATATATTTCAATAAGGTTTAAATATTATAAAATTAACTAATATCTTGTTTGGAATTTAAAAACTAAGTATAATTAAATTAAAAAATAGGATAATAGTATTTTTTCTAAGATAGTGGTAAAACTAGGTTACCTGAAATTTCCAGGTACACTTGCATTTCGGAGGATAGTAGCTGGGGTAATACGGACTCGAAATTTTCCCTTCAAAGCCAGTGATTTCTTTGACCAACACTGTGTTTTCACATTCTGAAAAATATCCAATAATACACAATGATTTATAGTTGCGAGATTATGGGAAATACACTCCATGCATTTCTTTAACTACAAATGCATACTTCCTTAATCAAGAAGATTATATATTTTTTGAAATGCAAACTAATGTTTTAAAAAGCAATAGTACTCTACAGTTGTATAGCTGAAGTACTTGTACAAAGTCTTTATTTGTTTTCAAATTATACATTTTGGCTACAGATCTATAGGATGCTATTACTTTCTTTAAAAACATGGTTTAAATATACATTTTTTCTTCTAGTTTTATTGAGATACAACTGACATACAGCATCTTTTGACATGCAGCACTGTAAATGCATACTTTTAAAATTTCTGAGTTAATTTTCCTCAAATTAATGTGTATTTGTTGTTCAAGAAATATACCCAGTTTACATAACATGTTATTCTGTTTAAATAAGACAGTCTAAATGCTTATTCTTACTGAGGTAGTCATTTTTTGCTAGAATATAAGCTGCCCAAGAGTATTGATTTTTGTCTGTTTTGTTTATTGCTGTTTCCCTAACATCTAGAGTCATTTCTGGCACACAATAGATGTTCAATAAATATTTGTTGAGTGAATAGACAAATTCTAGTACAATATTTCTGATATGATTCTATTTTTAACCTTTGGAGTTAGAGATAAGTTTTGACCTAAAAATATCTCAAATATCTAGTTCGATTTTGTACAATAAATCTATTTTATAATTGGTTTTGTAATCATTTGATAGAGAAAACCTATCAAAATGAGCCACTGGCCTAAAATATAGATGAACCTGAGGCTCTTACCATCTACTTAAGCCAAATTCCCTTCCCTTCTCACTTCCATCTCTCATTCTGATCCCTTTAGCTTTGCTGATGCTCATAAAGACGATGTGACCACTAAGATCTGACCAGTTTCCAGGGCAACAAATATTACAAAAACATGACAGTTTCAGTGAAGTCTCTTTTTATTCTGTTCTGTTTACATCAAACCAAGTCAAAACAAGAACACAGAAGAAAGCACATTTTGCTCACTAGAAAAACCCATTACATTGTCTGGGTTCTGCATCACAAGCACCTTCCACGACGGCACTCTCTCTATAAATGAGAGCTCACAAAAGACAGTCTGTGTGCTGGTTACTGAGCTATTATTGTCTCTCACCTCCAAACCCACTCCTCTCTACTCTATTCTGCAAGGCTGGGCTGGGACTCTGCAAACCCCTCTCTCCTTTCCTACCTGACAGGCTCTGCCAGTAGCGGGGAGGGGGGTTGCTAAGGGGAGACCAGAAGCCTGGAGGCAGGAGAACAGGACTTCTGTCAATTTCTTATTCCAGGGAGTGTCACCCAGCAATCCTACCCACCCCCGCAGCTACTCTTCCTTCCTGCAACAGAGGTGAATCCTGCTAGCAGTTTTTCCAACTTCTGCTTTATTGCATCTCCCTCAAAGATGCCAGCTCAGCTGCCTGGTACTCTCTTCTCAAAGATCCAGGTCCCCAGTTCATGAGCACCTGCCTCTGAACACACAGACACCAACATCAGCTGGGCAGCACCCCCTTCTCAGAGGTCTGAGTTTCATTTCACAGACGCCCTCCTCCAAGCCCTAAGTTGGAATCATTAAATCGCTTTCCTTTGTTCTTTCATACCTACAGGTGTTAGTTGCTTCCTACACGTGTTACATCATAATACCTGACATTTTTGTTTTGCTTTTGCCTTTTGCGTTACCCAGTTAACACCTTTACACTGTTGTGAACAGTTGTTTATCTTACATTCTCTCTGTTAGAATAGCTAATGTGATCTCTCTCTTCTTACTGGACCGTGTCAAGGTCCTGACTAACGCAACTAGTATTACGACACAGCCTCGGGAGAGGTAAGACTGAAGTATCCATCGAAACAAATGTTTCTCATGACTGTTTTTCAACTAGGGAAGACTTACTTTGTTCTGGAATGACCTCGAAATATGCCCGGATTCCTGACAGCCTCCGTATCTGAGGAGACTTTAATGTCACCAACATCAGATTATTTGTGGAAACAAATGACATTAATGTTCTTGTGGGTTCACAAATTCTGAAACCAGATAACCAAACAAAAGGACATAAATAATAGGTCATTGAGAATTGGACCCCTACATCCACCACGAATTCTCCCTATTTCCCGGGCCATTTGCACAGTTCTTGTGAATCAGAGTCTGTCAGCCAGGTCTTCAGTAAGTGACCACAGGACATTACAGATAGAGGGGTGCTGGTATAGGTACAGAAATTTTTGTCCAATAACTACTGAAGAATTTTCTGTAATGGCCGTCAGAGGACACTCTTTGAGCACAAACAAGGTGCACAGGCAGGGTACTGAATGGCTGAAGTCACCGGCTCTTCACCAGGGAAAATTGGGTTCAAATTCAGCTCCATCACATAACTGGCTGAAAGATTCTGGGTAACGAAGTAACTAAATCTTCATAAATGCCAGTTTCCCAACTATGAAATGGTAGTAATAAAACAGTATACTCCTCATAACATAGAGGTGAGGATTAAATGAAATAATAACTAAACACACCTGGGAATAATTAAAAGAAACCTAACTTTTCAATACAAATCTTTAGACATGGTTTGAATTTTTAATGTGTGCATTCACCACCAACATATAAATTCATACGTACATAAAATACTATTGTATGCATACATAAACATTATTAAAAATGATAAGATAATTCATATGCCTATTTAGCACAGTGAGTAAAAAGAGCAAATTCTTAATAAAGCCTGACATTATTAGATCATCAAAATATTAAGCACTCATAAAAAGATATCTACTAGTAAAAAAGAAATACTAGGGTATGTCTGTGTATGTGTGTGTGTGTGTAATTGTGTGTATGTATGAATGAAAGAATGCATGCAAAAATATAACATTTATCCTAGGTAATGAGAATGTAAAGTCATCGACATTATTTTCTCTGATTGACCTCACTTTCACAATGAACACTGTATTATGTTTATAATAAGGAAAAAATGTAATTGTTTTACTAACGCTAGGCAATCATAATAGAATACATATTCTCACATTCTGTTGAAATAGTAGACTTCATTGTGATTGCAATAAAAGTAAATTTAAACAAACAAAAAATCTGTTATCTATCAGAAATACTAGCTGAAGCTCCTACTGTACTGATTTTGACTCGTGTATGCTACAAGTGAAAAGCAAACATTGTGTCTGATAGGTGCTGGCTAACGGGGGGGCGCTAAATAGGGCACGGGGCAATCTTTGACCTCATAAGAATACGCAAAAATGGTTTTAAAAAATCCAAAAGGAACCCAGATACTGCAAAAGAGAGATGTTGTAAAAATTCTTTTCACTCGCCAGCCAGGGTGCCTGCGTGATACCTGTACAAGACTGTGCTCCGGGCGGGCAAGAGGGAGTCGTAAATGGTCAGGGAGTCGCTGACGCAGTTGTCGGCCTCAATCTGGACGGACTCTATGGAGAGACGAAGCAGATGGCCCACTGTAGCCATCAGCTTGAAGTGGCACATCAGCCTCCCTGAGGTTGCAGAAATCTCCAGAGGGTAGCGGAGAGACAGACGATCTGCGTAGAGGTACTGAGAGCAGCCTCTGTCTGTGAAGACGGTACTTGGTTTGGTTTTGTTTTAGGAATGAGTTTTCTAGAAATCTTTATAGAAAAGAGCCAAAGAGGTCACAGGGAGGACATCTGCTATCTTTGCCAGCCTGGAATCCACTCTCATCTCTTCTCACAGCACCTAGATTTTACTTTGAGAAACTGTTCCTACCCTGTCAACATGGTTTGCTTGGAGTTAAACTCACCCCTAGGTCCAGAGGTGGGTACACAACCCAGACTGACCAATGAGTCAAAAAAGTGGGTTCAGGAGTAGGCATGCCAGTCAATTTGAGACAATGAGACTCGGCCCCAGGACTTCTGCAGGAACCATCAGGTGAGTTTTTTTTCCACTATGACTGCTAAACTGATAAATTACAAAGCTTGGATCTGCTGGTGGCTATTTATGCCTCCACATGGGAAGAACCCATTTGATAAAACCTCAACAGAGGAAAGCAAACATGCAGAGTCCTGATATTTTATCTCTTAGAACCTGGATCCAACCATGCCTGCAGCCAGCCTCCTCCACGTATGTCCCAGTTATATGAGCCAATCAAGCTGCTTTTGTGCTTAAGCTGGTTTGAGTATATATCTGTTACTTGCAACTGAAAGAGCACTAATACACACCTTCATTTAAACAGGAAAACTACAGTCAGAAAGCATACTGATTTGGAGGCAGCTGGGGGATGGGAAGAGGAAGAAACCACATGATATAATTTACCAGATCCTATGGTTGAAGAGTAATCTGACCGAAGCCCAGCTGCATCGAAAAAGTACATAGAAAAGAGTCAGTCCCAGCATTTCATTTTGTTAGAATCTTGCTTAGTAAAAGTATTTTCAGTCATTAAAAGCAAACCAACATACCTGAGAATTTGCTGTAAAATAATCCTGAAGGGAAGGGAGGTTGTTTAGGTATTTAGAGCTCAAGTAGGAGAGCCAGGAGCTCCCAGTTACTGAAGCTGAGCAAAGGGTGTGAGAGAGTTCATTAAACTCTTCTCTTAGCTTTCGTGCTCGAAATCACCCATAGTAAGAAGTTTTAAACATTTTTTAAAGATAAAAAAGCAACCAGACATGATAATTAGTTCTGTATCTCAAACAGTATATGTGGTACAGAATTTTCCACCAGAGATTTTGTTCATTCATTTGTTACTTATTACAAATACTTATCAGCCACCTACTATCTGCCTAGAATATATATATAATTTAAATCAAAATAGAAAGCTGAATAAGTTTTGAATTAAACAAAATGATTAAACCACTTTACTGTCAAGACAATTGATGGAATTTGCATTTTGACTGTGCTACGGAGCAAGCCACTTTGAAACACTGGGACACACTAAGTAACACAGGCACGGTTCTGTCTCAGCAGGGAAGAAACGAGGAAGGTACACCTCTGCAACATGTTCCTTCTCCCACTTTGTTCTGTGGAGCCTTAGTCTGAAGATGCATGAAGCCAAAATAAATATAGAGAGGGGTACACTTTCATAAATTCAGTTTCATGTATATGACCCCAATTCTATTGTCCAATCACTGTGTGTAACATCTAGCAGGTTTCTTTATCAACAAAGCTCCAAAGTCTTCAGCTAATCCTGCCCCATGGGATTGGGGAAAAGAACACAGTTATTCCTCAGTATCCAGGGAGGACTGGATCCAGGACCCCCACAAATTCCAAAACCCATGGATACTCAAATCCCTTATGTAAAATGGTGTAGTAATATACAAAATAGGTAAACAACAAGGTCCTCCTGTATAGCACAGGGAATTATATTCAATATCTTGTAATAACCTATAATGAAAAGAATATATATATCTATAACTGGATCATTATGCTGTACACCAGAAACTAACACAGAATTGTAAATCAACTATACTTCAATTTTTTAAAAAAGCTATTTGGATAAAACCTATGCATATCCTCATTTATACTTCAAATCATCTCTAGATGACTTCTAATACCTAATACAATGTAAATGCTTTGTAAATAGTTGCCAGCCTGCAACAAATTCAAGTTTTGCTTTTTGGAGCTTTCTGGAATTATTTTTTCCAAATATTTTCTATCCACAGTTGGTCGAATCCACAAAAGTGGAGTCCATGGATACTGAGGGAAGATGGCTCTTTATTACAATACTGACTATGATAAGGGCATATCAGGAGTGCTGCAGGAAGGGAAGCTTAAAGAATGACTCCACAATCACCATTTAGTACCACAGAGTCCATGTCCACAGCCAGACCCTGCAGGCTCCCCACTGAGGTCCGGTTTATGATGCTCGTCTGGATGGAGTCCTTCAGGATGGCAGCCACGCAGTCCTCACAGAAGACATGGCCCTTGGCATTTGGCATGACAAACACAAGCCAAAAGTGCACAAGGAGCCCACCTTTGTTGTTACTGCTACAGTGAAAAGAGAAAGAAGTTCAGGGATACCTCTTAGGAAGCAGACTTTCCTAAGGAGCCAGTGACCCAACTGATAACCTCAAGGTAAAGCCAATGGGCACATCCTTCAACTGAGCACCATTTCCTTCTTTAGGAAGTCATTGACTCCTATTAAGGGAATTTGAAAAGCAAAGCATCATGGTATGTGTATTCTTGTGCTGGGTTCAAATCTATAACAGTTAGTATATTTTGCATCTCTATGGAGAATATACTATTTCTGTGGAAATCACTAAGTATTCACTGGTATTACAAACAAGAAGTTAGAATGTCTGATACCTCACCATGTCCAGACACAGGGCTACATCTGCTTTATCCCCCTTAATCTTATGAGGAAGGTCTTATTGTTATCTCAGTATTACAGATGAGGAAATTAAGGTCCTCTACAACTCAAAATCACATGACTACTAAGTAGCAAGTCTTGGAATCAAGCCTAATTTGGTTTTCAGTCCGACCCTGGAGCAGAAGCTCCTAACTGCACAAATATTGCCATGTTTTACGGGGTAAAAAAAGATGCATAGTGTTGTAAAGCATAAATTTTGGAAATGGAAGGTAAAGGAAAAGAAACAAATTGCTTTACTCCAAGACTTCTCAGTGCCTTTAATCTGTGAATTTCCACAGATCTATAGGGAATGGGGGAAGGTGGGATGCAGTTCACGATGCACAATGTTTCTTAAAAATTATTTGACCATGGGATCCTTTTTTTCTCAGAAGATCTCTAGCAATCAGTATTTTTACATATTGAACATATTTAGAGAGACATTGGCCTGTGTTTTATTTTTGCCCCCACCCAATACAGTGGCCATGTTTACAGCCATTTTGCCCAGTGGCCTTAATGCAGAAGTCCAGGGTCCCAGTTCTGGGGAGACAGCAGGCTTTAGTAAGTGAAGAGAAAAACCCAGCATGACAGCTTGGCAAAGAATTGGGTCACTAGTGTGCTAACAGGAAGTTACTTGAGAATGGCACTATTTCAGCCCTTCCACAGCCTTTCAAGGAATTTACAGCAATGAACGAACGGACAAGTCCCAAAGCAAGATGCACTCATTACCTGACCTCTGCAACGACAGACTGCTTGTAGAATTTGGAAAAGGCAGATGTTGTATAAACCAGGTTTAACTGAAAAAAAAAAATGAACCAAGGTGTCAAACGTCTCTTGAACTTGGTACCCAGCGTGCTGTAGGTCCAAGCTTGGACAGCTAGCAAGGAGAAAAGCAAGACTCCAACTAGAAGCCTCTAATGCCAAACCCAGACACTGTATCTTGAATTCAAGTAAATTCTTACTTTCTGTTGCAGTCTTGGGTTACCTACTGTCATTCCGCTGTCTGTGAAGATTCATCAGTTAACTTTACTCATTTATTGTTGTCTTTATACACCCTAATCAAGCTTAACTTCTGCATTCTGCCTACTCCAAAGGTTCATTTTCTCCACAATGAGTAAATCAAACTCCTTTAAGCACATTTTCAAAATATTTGACCCAATCTCTTTTTTATCAATGCACAGTATGGAAAATTTATATTCTCAAGGACACGTTCCTATATTAGCCACTAGAGGGCAGAGGGTGCCCACAGTCAGGTCTTCATCCCCTTCAGAACTCTCCAGTTTCCAGGGAAGCACCCAGCTTTTAAAACACCATAAATGAAGCTCAAAAGAGAGCTATTTCAATCAATTGACTTTTTTTTTTTGCCCTTACTTAGTATTTCTAAAACCAATTTCTTCTGCCAAATCTTCTCCTGTATTCCCCTTCTGACAAAGAGGCAAAATCACCTACCAGGAGAAAAAACAAAAACAAAAAAACCTTAGAAATATAGCATCTTGAAAAAAAATGGGCTGTGGAGTCTAAATTCACCTTGCAACACATAACATGTTACCTAGACCTGCTGAGCCTCCTTTTTTTCCTTTTTCTCTTTCGTTCTTTCTTTTTTAATCTGTAAAAATGTGATCAAAATGCCTACCTCTTTGGGCAGGTTGTTGAATAACTGCAATGCAATGTATTGAGTGTAATACAAACTATACAAACAGGGTTTACTCAAAGCCAGCACTGACTCTGCAGGAGGCCGGGGAGGACTTCACAGAAAAGGAGACCCCTGGATGGGTCATGAATGATGGATGAAATTTCACTCAGTAGAAATTAGACAGAGAGAATAGCACTAAATCAGGGCCCCCAAACATGCAAGAGCAGTGATTATTCATAACACAAGTAATGACTGCCTTAGGTCACAAGGTTTCTTTGGGGAGAAGGTGGTAAGAAATGAGACTGGGACAATCAGGGGACAGAATTAGAAAAGTGCTTGCTTGCCTGCCATTCTTAAGAATCAGTACTTTATCCTTCAACTGAAGATGAAATACTGTTTTTTTAAAGGATCACTCCAGCAGTAGAGAGGAATGGCTTTGGGTGGGGAAGGAGGAAAAATGGTAAAGAGAATTTTTTTTAAATGTCTAGCCCTTTGGGCTAATTTGAGGACTGACTGACATATAGGAAAGGTGAAGGGTTCTGCGATTTACCCAGAACATAGGAGGCCTTCGGTCAGTAAGAGTTGTTATGCCCACTGTAGCCTTTGCTGTCTCTCGGCTCTCCTCCATTCTACACTCCAGTGTGCCTGTCACCACAGGCATCTCGCCCCTGCTGGGCCACCCTCTCCATCACTGTGAACGTGCAAACTGGCAGAAGCCTTCTAACTGGCGACAGGTACCAAGAGCCAGCAACAGATGTCTTTCTATTGGACCAATTGTGCTTTTAAAAAAATTGGAAACAAATATCCAGTAAAAAGGCACTTGCTAACTTTGTAGCTATCCAAACTTATGCTTTTTAAAGAATGTTTACTTGCATAGAAACATGCAACCTAATGTGAAGAGGAAAAAGTCAGATTATAATACTGAGTATCTACGAATACCTCAATATTGCAGTATGTCCTGTATCCACGTGGTCCAGAATCAAAAGGGGCTCTGTCTCTGGAGACGGTGTTAGAGATTTTATTTTTTAAATACTTCTGTAAATTTTTAAAAATGTTTTACAATAAATATGTATTAGTTCTACAATATGAAAGTTTTTTTTTTTTTAAGTAGAGATGCCAGTGCTTCAGGGTGGAAATAAATGTGTATGGGTCACAGAATCATCAGTATGCATGTAACTTCTGTACTACAGGGTATTTTAAAGATCACTTGATCCAGTTCCTTTATTTTATAGATAAGAAACACTGATGCTCAGAGAGACATTTTGTTTTACTTTCAGCAGAAAAAAATAAATAAGCAATTCTATCTTACAACCAAGATGCGCTAAATCCCTTGCTACCCTGAGTTCTTCCTTCATCCGCTCTGCTCAGCTGCAACACAGTGACCCCGCCGCCACTTCCTGCCCCACCCCCCACCTCACCTTCCCCAGACTCTCAAGCTCCCCCCATCGCCTCACCACTTGCTGCACAGTCTGTGCCACTGACAGAAATTCCCTGGACTCCTTCTGCAGGTATTCAGGAAGAAATTCAATGTTGGTGACACGAAACATCCCCACAAAGTAAAAAGCATCTCTGCTCTCTGTCTTACCTGTAAGCCAAGAGAGAAGGTGGTTAGGAGGCTTTCCCATCTGTGTGGCAGCGAGGCAATGTCTGATCTCTGTCAGTGCAGGCTCCTAAAATGCCTTTATTCTAGACAGCTTTGTAGTTTACTGGTCACAGCCTGTGAAGCTCTAACTGTAGTTAACAACATCTCTTCCATCAGCAGTAATCAGCCTACCTCTTTATTCTTTCTATCCGCTCTGGCCAATACTTAAGAACAAGATTAAAAGGTAAAAGATAGACCTGTTTCTGGATGCAAGTTCTTGTGCCCGAGGAACCACGAGGCTGAAGAAACTGAAACGTTGGAGTTTGCAGCAGAGAAAAGTTTACTGCAGGCCTGAGCAAGGAGAAAGGGGTGGCTCACACCCAGGAAAACCCTGGACCCCCCAGAGGGTTTCAGCAAAACATATTTAAAGGTCAGGTAAGGGAGGGGGGTCACAGGGTATGTGATCAGCTTGTGCACGACTCTCTGATTGGCTGATGCTGAGGTCACAGGACGGTCAACACTATCAGCCTCTGCACGCCAGAAGGCCTGAGGCCATGTTCCATCCTCAGGTAGTTAACTTCTTCCCTTTGGTGGTGGGTTTTAGCATTTGAAAAACTCGGGAAATTTTCGTGAGATACTATTATCTGGGTCCTTCCGAGAGGAGCTGCAGCAGAGGAAGTTGGGGAGGCGTCTGTCCCGTGAAGACCCCACAGGGTCCTGCTCAGTTACAGACTTTTTTGACTTTCTACATGTCCTAGAGTTACTAAGGGGCCAAAAAGAGCAGAGACAACGTTCATAGATCTCGAGTCTGTGGAAGGTAAGGAGGTAAGAAATGCACTCAGCCAAGCTCAGAAGGGACACGAGCCCAGTGGGAGGAGGGGAAAGGGCCCCTCACCCTTCACCAAGCCGCAGGCACTGAGCCCCTTTCTGACTTGTGTGGCTGATGCCCCGGGTGCCAGGCCAGTCTTCAGCTCTGGGCAGAGCGTGGAGAATTCATCCACAAAGTGTGGTCCTCAGCCCAGTATCAGGTCACGCCTGCTCAATACCCTGCCCAGTGAGGGCCGTGGGACGGGGCATCAAGTGGGGCCAGAAACTGCTGACCAGACAGTCAGCAACAATGCCGGGTCTGAGCTGCCTTCAGGCACCTGAGAATAGCTTCAGGAGATGGGCACTCTCCTTTCAGCCTTTCCTTTTTGTTACAAGGTCTTCCTGCTGTCTTTCAGTCCATAACATAGGGTGGTGAGTGCCTGACCTAGCTTGGAAGCTCAATAGATGTTCACAGGCAAGAAGGGAGAAAAAAGAAGAGAGGGAGAGAACAGTCTCTAAGCACAATGCCCAGCAGGTGGAAATGCTAAAGAAGTGATGGCTGCATTAAAAAGAAGGTGCATTTTTCTTTCTTTTTGGCTTACTTCACTTAGAAAGATGATCTCCAGGTCCTTGGATATTGCTGCAAATGGCATTATACTCCATTTAAAGCTATAAAATATTGGCTATATTCCCTGTGTTGTACAATATATCCTTATATCTTATTTATTTTATACGTAGCGTTTGTAACTCTATTAATCCCCTACCTGTATCTTGCCCCTCTTCCATGCCTCTCCCTACTGGTAACCACTAGTTCATTCTCTGTATCTGTCAGTCTGTTTCTGTTTTGTTACGTTGGTTTGTTTTATTTTTTTTAAGATTCTACATATAAGTGCTAACATATAGTATTTGTCTTTTTCTGGCTGACTTATTTCACTAAGCATAATATCCTCCAGGTCCATCTATGTTGTTGCAAATGGGAAAATTTTGTTCTTTTGTATGGCTAAGTAATAGTCCATTATGTATATATACCACATCTTTATCCAGTCATCTGGTGATGGACATTTAGGTTGTTTCCATGTCTTGGCTGCTGTAAATAGTGTTGCTGTAAACATTGGGGTGCATGTGTCTTTTCAAATTATTTTTTTCTCTGGATATATGGTTTATTGTACAGAAATTATATCACAATAAAATAATTTTTTAAAAATAATTTTTTAAAAAAGGTGTAACTTATGTAAACGGCAGGAAGCAGCCTCCCTGTGTGACCCATCCCAGGTCACATTAGCCCCCGGCAGCGTAGTGAGGCTGTGGAGGGTGGGGAAGCGGCAGGAGGCCTGAGCATCTCTCCTCCATTTGTTCTTTTGACTTATGAAACCAAGTCCCCTTAAAACCGACTTTCTCTGCCAACTTCATGACTAACGTCTCTATCCAAAATTTATTCCTTCTCTTGTCCCACACCTGCTCACCTCAAGATGAAGGAGTATTAAAGAAAAGGGGGGATGAAAATCGAGCAGGACCCTATGCGGCCCTCCTGGGTAGAAAAACCTTTCCATGTTCCTCATTTCTTGTTTGTAGGAAAAGGACTTCGACCTCCCAGACCTTCCCTGAGTTCCAAAGAGCAGATTCAGACTGCTACTAATTAGGGAAGTGAAGGGATGCAGAAACAAATGAAAAGCAGTCAAGAAACAATAGTGCAGCAATAAAGCAGGTTTCTAGTTCCTCCTCAAAGGATGTACATGACCATCTGATACATCTCTCTTCTATAGGAAGTAAGGCCCCCACTCAGGTGGAGGATGGTGACGAGGCTGAGCACAAGCAAGTGGACCTCAGACTGGTTAGAACCAGAGGCTAATGGCTGGGATTCCTGAAACACAGCCTTGTTACCTCACCACCAACCAATTAGAAGAAAGTCACACACACTGCAGCCCTCTTCCAAAAATGTGCCTTTAAAAATTCTTCCCTGCAGACCATCAGAAATTTGGGGTCTTTTGAGCACAAGCTGCCTTTCTCCTTGCTTGGTCCTTAATATAAACCTTTCTCTGCTCCAAACACTGACATTTCGATTTGTTTGGCCTCACTGTTTGTCAGGCACATGAACTTGGCCTGGACAAGCTTCGTGACCTTGGACAAATCACCTTTCCTTACTAGGACCCTTGTATAAAGCAACAGTAGTTTTTATCTCTGATTTTACCAGGAATGTCCTTCTTAGATTTTCTTTTTCCCTGTAGATTCTTTAAAATTTGAATGAAAGTGTGAACAAAAAATACTGCAAGTCATATCAGTAAACAAAGAATGCTGTGGCCCTCAAGTCATCAGCCACTACTGCCACCTCCGACAGTGAGTTGGGGGACTCAGATGCAGACAAGCAGGCAACCTGGCCTCTGCAGCCACCCCTGCAACAGTGCACCCTGAGATATGTGAAAGCACAGGATTCTGGCCCTGGATAGTTGGTGTGTATCAAAGGAAAGGTTTCATTGAGCCCAGACCTTTGCATCTTCCCGTGCATAGAAAAGCACTAAATTCCTTAACTTAAGCTATCTGGTTTTCTTTAATTAACAGTACTCTTTTGACGTTCCAACTACCTGGTCTTTGTTGTAAAAACTCCTGTGTACCCTGGCTCTTCCCTCACCTCTGCAGAGCAGTCCCTCAGAGCGATCTGAGAGGCTGTCATCCCGGGCTCGAGGGGTTCAAGTCCTCAGAAACGTCCACCGAATAAAACATAACTCCCAGCCTTTATGTTGCGCATTTCATTTCCGTCGACAAAACCCAAGACTTCTACTTACAAGCACATATATCCTTCTTCTATCAGTAAGTTCTCAAGGGGTGAACAATGCAAGAGAGGTCAGTTTAGCCTTCAGCAAGATTATGTTTTCTCACTCTGAGCTCAGCCCAGTGCACAAGCCACACAAGGTCTCCCTGATGAGCTGTGCACCTCATTTCTGTTAAAAAGAAATCACAAGCCCCAAATGGAGTCACTTACTCCCATGACCGACTGCAGACCAAGACTTAATTGCAATTTCAGTCTCTCCCAGGAATGTGACCTTTAAACAGACAATTGGAAATGTCCAGATCAACTCTAGTGAAGTAATCTGCATGATAAAGAGCCCTGCTGCTCCCTACCCCCAGAAGAAGATGGCCTGGCCCTGAACAATCCTTTCTTTTCTTTTGCTACTGTGCTTCCTTGCCCCACCCTCCTGCCTAAAAATATGGTCCATTTCACACACCCGCTCAGAGTGCCCTGTTATTTACTAGATGGGATGTTACGGACTCATGAGCCACTGAATAGAGTCAGTTAGATCTACAACCAACTAGATTTGCTTGGTTGAATTTTTGTTTTTTGACATTTCTCAAGGCCACCTTCCATGCCCAAATTTCTTGTGTCAAAACTAACCTCTCTTGTTTAATTGAAAAATTCTCACTTTTTCATAAATTTCTCAGTTTTCCTTTGCTCAGACTGGTCTGTCTTCCTGAAATGCCCTTGTCTGATTCTCACACAATCAACAAATTACCTCTACACAGTGATGTCCCAAAACTGTACATAGAAATGCTAGGGCAGTGCAAACATATCAGTTCAGGGCTAGCAGAGAACTGATGGGAAATAAGTTGGCCTGTTCTGGGTTGGGATTGTGTGTAATTTTGTGTTTCTTAGTTGCTTATTGGCTTGACTTCCCGTACTAGTCTGTAAAGACAGTCTTTCTTGTCTATTGCTCTGGCCAGAGCCTGTCACGGGGCTCAGTTCATAGTGGGCCCTCCCAAGATGTGTCTAAGGAATTTTCAGGAACCAGTTCATGAAGCCTTATCTAGATTCTGTCCCTGAGCGGGTCAGATGTCTCCCTTCTGTGATTGCAAAGTAATTGCTCAAGTGAAAAAAAAAAGGAAGAAAGAAAAAAAATCAACTCACATTCCCTCTCCAGCACCGAACTGTGAGTTTTTTGAAAGTAGAAAGTTCATCTGTGAGTTTTTTGAAAGTAGGAGACACATCTTGATATGCCTAATGTCTTACACTGGGCCACGAAAAATATAGGTGATCAATTTATATATTGATTTATATATTGATATTATAAGTGACCTGAACAGCTCAAGACAATAGTCATTAATCCTTTGCCTATAAATCTGGCTTTCCAACCAAATTTCCATATCCTTGAGAGTATACATATCTTGCATCAAATATATTAA